AGTGCAGCAGCTGCAGGCTCACGCGGAGCTGCTGCTGCTGGGGGGTGGCTTGAGTTAGCCTGAGGGTAGCAGCTGGGCTGAGGGGAAAAGAAAGGTGGGGGTAAACAGCAAACAGCAGCAGCAGCAGCAGCTCGGGAGAAGCAGCAGCTTTGGTGCTGCGCTGCTGCAGGAGAAGTGCCTCAAAGAGCCCAGCAAGACTTGCTGCTACGAGCTGCGGTGGGCGAGCCGCGAAGTGCTGGCGCAGCGCAAGGAAATAGCAGGTAGCTGCTGGCAGCAGGCTGCTGCTGCTGCTGCTGCTGCTGCTGCTGCTGCTGCTGCAGCTGATTGGGTTTTTGCCTTTCCCTTCTCCTGCGTCACCTCTGGCTGCCCGCGGGGCGTTCTGCATTTCCTTCACAAGTTTCTTTCTTGATCGAACCCAGAAGCAGCACAAACCCTCTCCCAGCTGCTGCGCTGCTGCGCCGCCATGCTGCTGCGCTGCTGCGCTGCTGCGCCGCCATGCTGCTGCGCTGCTGCGCTGCTGCACTGCTGCGCTGCTGCGCTGCTGCGCCGCCATGCTGCTGCGCTGCTGCGCTGCTGCAGGCCAGGCCGGGGAAGGGGTCTACATTTGCTTCGCTTCGCAGCAGCTGTACAAGTCTTTGGAAGTTTTTTCTTTGCCGGAACTGCAGCGGCTTCCTTTGGAGGAGGTGAGGGCGAGCTGGCTGAGGCGCTGGCTGGGCCGCAGGACCTGGCCTGTGCAGCTTTCTTGAATGGAGTGGAAACTTGAACTTTTTTCAGGTTTTTTTGCATCTCGTGGCCGATCTTCCGGATAAAAACACCGAAAATGCCCTTTTTTGCCTCGCTAATGCTCCAAATCCACCTGACGCATGCAAAACTTTCCAAACTATTTGCAACTTGGAAGCAGCCGGTGCGCGGGAGCTGTTCACGGAAACTTGAATTTCAGTTCAGTTCATTTCATCCCATTTCTTTTCATTTCCTTTCTTTTCACTTCATTTCTCTTTGTTTATTTCCATTTCATTTCTTTTGATATCTACGCCTTCGTTTCGTTTCGTTGCATTTAATTGCCTTTCATTTCATTTGATATCATTTGGTTTCATTTCATTTCATTTCATTTCATTCCGTTTCATTTCGTTTCAGTTCATTCCACTTCGTTTCATTTCCATCTTCCTTCATTTTCTTTCCCTTTCTTTCGTGTCCTTTCATTTAATTTCAGATTACACTTCATTTCCTTTTATTTTGTTCCTTCTTCCACACTCCCCACTTCATTTCATTCCATTTACTCCGTTTTGTTTCAATTCTTTCGCTTTCACCTCTCGAACTTTTGCATTTACCATTAAGTCTTTGTTGGTTTTTCATTTTTTGCTTCTGCAGGCGCTCTTGAGCTCGGATCGCCGTCTTTTCCGTTTTCGCGTTTGACTTCGCTGGGCCACTTGGCTTTGCTGCTGGCTTTGCCAGTAAATGCTGCTCGCCTGCTGCTTTTTTCCGCAGCACTTGGAGTTTTGCCTGCGGGCTTGTGGGCTGCTGCGCTGCTCCTCAGCAGCAGACCCACGGTCTTCGAACTCCACCGTGAGACTCCGGGCTCCGCAGCGCCTCCTGCGCTGCTGCTTTGCTGCAGCAGCTCCGCTGCTTTGCTGCAGCAGCTCTGCTGCTTTGCTGCAGCAGCTCTGCTGCTTTGCTGCAGCAGCTCTGCTGCTTTGCTGCAGCAGCTCTGCTGCTTTGCTGCAGCAGCTGTGATGCTTTGCTGCAGCAGCTCTGCTGTTTTGCTGCAGCAGCTCTGCTGTTTTGTTGCAGCAGCTCTGCTGTTTTGCTGCAGCAGCTCTGCTGCAGCAGCTCTGCTGCTGCCCTCCCTGAAGCTTGCTGCAGAGGGGTGCAGCTTGTGGCTTTTGCTGCGGCTTTCTGTGGGGTGGCAATGCTGTTTCTGCAGCAAGAGGCGGCAAGTCAGCAGCGCTTTCCGACTTGGAAATTTTGCGAAGAATTGCAGCTCGTTCCAAAAGGCTTGCTGCTGCGAGCTGCAGCAGCAGCAGCCTCTTTCCCTGGGCTGCTGAGGCGGCACAGCGAAGCCGCAGCAGCTCTGGCACAGCGCCCGAGCGCTGGGGCCCTCCCCGGGGCTCAACAGGGCCCCCGGCTGCTGCTGCTGCTGCTGCTGCTGCTGCTGCTGCTGAGGCAGCCAGCAGCTCCAGCAGCTGCATCTGGGGGCAAGCCATTCCGTGCGACATCTGCGTGGATGTCGTTGCGCTGCTGCTGCTGCACCGCCGCCATGGGGAGCGCCTGAAGCTGCTGCTGCAGAGCCACTGCACTGACTGCGCCGCAGCGCAGCACCAGAAAACACAGCAGCAGCAGCAGCAGCAGCAGCAGCAGCGAGGCAGGAGGCGACAGCCGTTTTGCAGGGAACTGCAGCTGCTGGAGCTGGCTTTGGAGGAGAGCGGCGTGTCAGTGCCAGGAGTAGCTGAAGTGGCATTTCATTACTTCGACTTATCCAAAAAGCTGCTGCAGTCAGGCCTTTTGCCTTTCCCGGGGGCCTCCAGAGCAATTCCAAACTCCCTGCGGGGGCCCGGGGCCCCCCCGGCTGCAGCCGGGGGCCCCGAGAAAGCCTGGGGCCCCCTAGGGGCCCCGGGGCCCCTGGGGGGGCCCCCGGGGGCGCCTCTGGGGGGACCCCCGGGGGGGCCCCCGGGGGGGCCCCTGGGGGGGCCCCTGGGGGGCCCCCCGGGGGGGCCCCTGGGGGGCCCCCTGGGGGCCCCGGAGGCCGTGGAGCGTCTTGTGTGGCGGCTGCAGCTGTCGCTGGGCGCTGCGTGGATGCCTTTTGGGTTTGGGAAGTGCGAAGACTGTCTTCCCCTCAGCTTTCCGGATTTGGGGCTGAGAGCCAACTCGCACTTCGTCTTCGACGTTTTGTGCCACGAGGCCTTTCGAGAGCGGCCGGAACTCCGGAGCCGCGCGGCAGTCCTGGAAGCTGCAGCGCAGCGCGCAGCCCCAGCAGCAGCAGCAGCAGCAGCAGCAGCAGCAGCAGCGGCGGCAGCGGCGGCGGAGGCCCCGCGCCCTTGGGGCTGCGCCGCCGAGGAAGGCAGGCCGGCTGCGGGTGCGGGCGCAGCAGCAGGGACCACTGCAGCAGCAGCAGCAGCAGCAGCAGAGACCAGTGGACCACCCACGCGCCGGACTACTGGACCCCCGGAAGCAAGGACCAGTGGACCACTAGCAGCAGCAGGGACCAGCGGAGCAGCAGCAGCAGCCGCAGGGACCCGTGGACCACCAGCAGCAGCCGCAGGGACCAGTGGACCCGCAGCAGCAGCAGCAGGGACCAGTGGCCCCGCAGCAGCAGCAGAGTCCCGCGGGCCGGCGAGGAAGCGGCCTCGGGCGCTGCAAAGCTCTGCTGCAGCAGCAGCAGCAGCAGCAGCAGCAGCAGCAGCAGCCCAGGGGGGGCCCCCTGGAGTGTGGGGCCCCGGGTGTCTCTGCAGCTTGGCGTTTGCTGAAGGCTCTTCGGAAACGCCTTCTCTTCGCCAAGGCCATTTGGAAGAAGAGGCGCTGCTGCTGCTGGGGACTGCAGCAGCAGCGCACGAGCAGCGGTGGTCTCAGTGGTACTTCGCGAGGGAGCTGCAGCTGCTGCTGCGCTGCAGCAGCAGCCTGCGCTCGCGCCTGCTGCTTGCTGCTGCGCTGCTGCAGAAGGCCGCCCCCCCTCCCCTGCTGCCAGCAGCGCAGCAGCCGCAGCTGCTGGTCAGCAGCTCTTTCCGGACTTGGATGCTTCAGCAGCAGCAAACGCATGCAAAGCTTTTGCAAGAATTCAGCAGCCTGCAGCCCCGCCTGGGGGCCTGCGGGCTGCTGCTGGGGGCCCCCAGCAGCAGCGCGGGGGCCCCAGGCCCGGGGGGCCCCAGCGGGGGCCCCGCAGGCAGCGAAGAGGGGGCCCCTGTGCTGCAGCAGGAGCTGCTGCGGACTGCGCGGGCGCTGGATGCTTTTGCTGCTAAGCTGCTTCTGTTCTGCTGCAGCAGCAGCAAAACTTGGCAGCTGGCGCAGGCGCTGCATGCAGCAGTGGCGCAGCAGCGCGGGGCTGCGCAGCTGCTGCTGCAGGCGCAGCAAGGCAGCTGGTCTGCTGCTGCTGCAGGCCCTGCGCTGGCGGCCGTGGACAGGGCCCGAGCAGCTCTTGCTGCTGCTGCTGCAGCGCCGCAGCTCGCAGCGCAGCTCGCCAGCAGCTTAAGTCCTTTTGCTTTTTTTTCTCTCAGTGTGAAGCCCCAGCTGCAGCCAGCGGACTTGCTGCAGTTCGAGGGCTGGGCTTTTGGCTTCAGCGACCCCTTTGCCCCGCTGCAGCAGCAGCTGCAGCAGCTGCAGCAGCTGCTGCAGCCCCTTCTCGGCAGCAGCAGCCGCGCGCTGCTGCCCACCGACCTCCGGGGCGTCGCCGAGGCTGTGCAGAAGCTCAGCAGCAAACCCCAGAGGCAGGCCACGCAGCGGAAGCAGGAAGCAGCAGCCTGCAGCTGCTGCAGCAGCTGCAGCAGCTGCAGCAGCTGCAGCGGCTGCAGCAGCTCGGAGCAGCCCAAAGGCTGGGGCTTCCTGCAGTGCCGGGAGGCCGTAGAAGCCCTGGCAGCAGCTGCAGCAGCAGCGCTAAGTCAAAGACAGCTGGGGGCCCCCGGGGGCCCCCAGCAGCCTGCAGCTGAGGGCAGCAGCGGGGGCCTCAGCGAGCTGCTGGCAGCAGCAGCCGCGGCGACGCAGGCGGTGAGCTCCCACAGACGCAGTTGCAGCAGCTGCAGCAGCAGCAGCAGCAGCTGCGGCAGCAGCAGCTGCTGCAGCAGCAGCTGCTGCTGGCGTCCGCAGCCCCGAGAGCGCAGGGCCCAGCTGCTGGTCTTCGGAGACAGCCGCAGGAGAGCCCTTTTGCAATGGCTGCAGAGAGCAGCAAAAGGCTTCGGGCTGAAGGGCCTTTTGGGGAAGCAGCAGCAGCAGCTGCGGGGCCCCGAGCTGCGCTGCTGCGGCCAGCCGCTGTGGGCCTCTTTGCTGCTGCCCTTGGCCCAGCAGCAGCAGCAGAACTTCGGGGCCCCCGGGGGCCCCCTTTTGCTGCCCCCGACTCAAGAGGTGCTGCTGCAGCCAGCGGAGACGGCTGCTGCAGCCACGCGCAGGCTGCTGCTCAAACAGCAGCAAGAGCGGGGCCAGGCGCAGCAGCAGCAGCAGCAGCAGCAGCAGCAGCAGCAGCTGCTGCTGTTGGACCTGGCAAAGCCCGATATGAGGGACAAGCCCGCCGCACTGGCTGCTGCTGAAAAGCCAGGAGAAAGCCAAACACCTCTTGGGCCGGGACAAGGGGGCCCCTGGAGGGGCCCCTGGGGCCCCGAGGCCCCTTCCAAGGTGGGGGGGCCCCCAATGGGAAGCACAAAGGGCACTCCCAGGGCCCCCCCCCTCCTTAAGGCCAAGACTGAGGGTTTTGGGGGCCCCGGGGGCCCTGGGGGCCCTGACACGGGGTTGGGTGCTGCTGCTGCTGCTGCTGCTGCTGCTGCTGCTGCTGCTGCCTATGGGGGCAGCAGCCCAGCCGTGGGCGGCGGGGGCCCCAGGGGGCCCCCAAGGCGGGGCCCCCGGGGGCCCCCTGGGGGCCCCGGGGGGCCCCCTGGGAGCCAGGAGGCGCCAGAGGCGCAAGACGAGGGCTTTTGCTGCAGCCCTTGGAGCCGTTTCTTGAGGGCCTTGTTGGCCACAGACGCAGAGAACAGCAGCCGTACACCCCAGCAGCAGCAGCAGCAGCAGCAGCAGCAGCAGCAGCAGCAGCAGCAGCGGCAGCAGCCCAGCACGGCGCGCGTTTTCAAGATATCAGAGCAGTCTGTGCTGCACAGCAACGGCCCCTTTTACCCAGAAAGTGGGGCTGCTGCTTCGACTCCCCCAGCGACTTTTCGCAGCGTTTTGCGGCAGCTGCAGCAGCCCGCATGTGTCTTTCTTTTGCTGCTGCAGCAGTGCTGCTGCAGCAGTGCTGCAGCAGCATTTTGCTGCCTTTGAGCTCCTTTTGCTGCATGTCGAGCTCTCTTGTGTCTGGCTTTCAGGTGCTGCTTTCTGTGTGCTTTATTTCTTATTTTGGGATGTCTTTTGCTGCTGCAGTTGAGATCCTTGAGCTGCATTCGTGGCGTTTGCTGCTGCACTTGGGCTGCAGTTGCTGCTGCAGTTGGTTTGCTGCTGCTTGCTGCTGCAGACTACTCGCGGGAGTTTCTGCTGCTGAGCCTCAAAGAGTGGAGCCCGGAGGCCGGCCTTGGCAGCGGGATTGCAGAAGCTGAGGCAGCTTCTTTGCTGCCGCCGCTGCAGCACTTGGAGGAGCTTCTCCTTTTGCTGCTGTCGCCGGCGGTCTGTGTCTTCTTGGGGAAGAGCTGCTTCTGCTGCTGCTGCTGCTGCTGCCCCTGCAACCCCGCGGGGAAGCAGCAGCAGCCGCAGAGCAGCGCCCGGGGCAGCGGCTGCTGCAGCAGCAGCCCCAGCGCTTGCAGTGCTGCAGCAGCAGCAGCAGCAGCAGCAGCAGCAACTTCTTGCTGCTGCTTCTGCCTGCGGGGCGCAGTCTGCTACGCCGTGGTGTCCTTCGGGGGCTTTCGGGAGTTCGGCTGGGTGCCCCGCTTTCTGTGGAAAGCAGCAGACTTGCAGCTGCTGAAGGCAGCCCGAGCAGCAATTGCTGCTGCCTTCGAGCTCCCGAATCTTCGCAGCAGCAGCAGCGTGGCTGCTGGCAGCAAGGAGCACCCCGCTGCTGCTGCAGGAAGCAGCAGCAGGGGCGTGGCTGCTGGCAGCAAGGGGCGCCCAGCTGCTGCTGCAGGAAGCAGCAGCAAGGAGCGCCGCGCTGCTGCTGCAGGAAGCAGCAGCAGGGGCGTGGCTGCTGGCAGCAAGGAGCGCCGCGCTGCTGCTGCAGGAAGCAGCAGCAAGGAGCGCCCCGCTGCTGCTGCAGGAAGCAGCAGCAAGGAGCGCCGCGCTGCTGCTGCAGGAAGCAGCAGCAAGCACTTGGGCGCTCCCTGGAAAGCGGGGGAAAGCAGCGGGAGCGAAGCCGCAAGTGAGGCAGCAGCAATTCAAAATAATGGAGAAGAAGAGAGTGGGGAGTGGGCCGGAGAAGCTGCTGCTGGTTCAGCCCTCGAGGGTTTGCTGCAGCAGCTGCTGCGCCCCAAGCCGCGGCTGCAGCACAAGCAGCAGCTAGCAGCCGCCGCGGCCTCTGCGCCTCTGCGCGAAAGAAAAACAAACTCAGAAAAGACTCCAAGAGAACAGCAGCAGCAGCAGCAGCAGCAGCAGCAGCAGCAGCAGCAGCAGCAGCAGCAGCTTCCCCCCGGCGGCGCCGCCCGCTGCTGGGCCGCGCTGGACCTTGCGAAGCAGCAACAAAGGCAGCAAGGGGGGCCCCCAGGGGTTTTGCTGCTGCTGAGGACTTTTGACTTGGAAGGCAGCGAAGTGGGGGCCCCCGGAGAGGCCCTGACACTGGCCAGCGGCGGAGTTCAAGTTCGGGGGGAGGGGGGGGAGCAGCAGCAAAAGAGCCGCAGGACAGCAGCTGCTGCTTCTGCTGCTGCTGCTGCTGCTGCTGCTGCTGCTGCAGATCCTCTTGCTGCTTCCATTGCTGAAGCGCTGCAGCAGCAGCAGGCCCCGCAGGCGCCCCAGACGGCCACGCTGCCCGAGGGCGCTGGGCCCAGCATGTGGGGGCTGCCTGCTGCCTGTTTGCTGCTGCTGCAGCGGCCGCAGCTGCCTGCGCTTTCCGCGCTGCAGCAAGAAGCTGGCTGGAGAAGCCTGCCTGCAGCAGCGCTGCCGCACTGGGCGGGGCAGCTGCTGCTGCAGTGCGCCAACAGCTGCTGCAGAGTCCCGCTGGGGCTGGTTGGGGACTTGCAGCGAATTTCTGCTGCTCGCCTGCCCCCCGGGGCTTCCCCGTGGGCCAAACTGGCTTTCAAGTACATCTTTGAAGAGCTGCGGGCCCCAGCAGCAGCAGCAGCAGCAGCAGCAGCAGCAGCAGCAGGGCCTCCCTGGGGGAGGTCTGCTGCAGCGAGGAGAGGCTCCGCCGGCGCGCAGGAGGCGCTGCTGCAGTGGCTGCAGGAGGCAGCAGTGCTGGGGCCTGCTGCAGCAGCAGAGATCCGGAAAGCCACAGAAGAAACACAAGAGCCCGAGCTGTGGGTGCTGGACTGCAGCAAAATTGCGGAGAAGCTGCAGAGGGAGTGCAAGACTTGCTGGGGGGAGGGGCAGCGCGCTGCTGCAGCAGGAAGCTGCTGCAGGCCAGCTGCAGCAGCAGGAAGCTGCTGCAGCAGCTGGCCCTGCGTGCTCAGCTGCTGCTTCTGCTGCCAGCTGGTGCCGCTGCTGGACGACGCGGAAACTTCGCTGGCGAAGCTGCGGCTGGAAAGCCGGCTGCTGCTGACTCCGTCGAGCCTGGCCTTCGTGCGGGGCTACCTGCAGCCGCTGCTGCGGGTGCGGCAGCGGCTGCAGCAGCTGCTGCAGCAGCTGCTGCGGCGGCAGCAAGAAGAGGCTTCGGCGGCTGGGCAGTGTCAGTGCTGCGGGCGCTGCAGCAGCAGCAGCAGCTGCTGCTGCTGCTGCTGCAGCGGCAAGAGCGCAGCAACGCTGGCGCAGCAAAACCGCCGGAAGCAGCAGCAAAGCCTCGCAGTGGACAAGTTCCTCGGCTGGGCGCTCTGCGGCGGCCCCGTGCGGCACCTGGTGGGCTTCGGCGTGTTCAACTTCCGAGTCTTCCCGCCGGACTCTCTCGTGGACGTCGGCGGCCACACGGAATCTCAAAGAGTTTTCTTTTGGAGAATATTTTCCGCAAATTCAATTCCGAGAAGTCCGCAGGACTTCCCGCAAGACTTCCCGCCAGCGCCGCGCGCGGCGCCGCTGCTTTCCTTCCGGGAAGCGCTGGAGCTGGGCCGGCGGGAAAGCGCCGGGGAAAGCTTTCCCTCCGGCGTTTCTGAGGACTTGGAAACTTCTAAAACGTTTTTTGCTGCTGCTAAGTTCATTCGAAACTTCGAAAGAGAAGTTCCCGAAGAAGACTTGAACTCTTCGTTCAAGTTCGCCCAACACCTCGCTGGCCTCCTCGCCAGGCGCTGCAGCCAAATGGCCCGACAGCCCCTCCTGCGGGCCCCGGAAGTGCAGCAGCAGTTCTCCCTCGAGTTCTGGGGCGCCGGCAGCTGGGCTGCGGGGGGAGGCAGTTTGCTGCAGCAGCAGCAGCAGCAGCAGCAGCAGCAGCAGCAGCGGCGGCAGCAGGGAACAGACGAAATAAGTCTAAACGAATTCCTGCAGACTTTGCTGCGGCCCGAGGCCCCCCACCTGCGCAAGGCTCTGGTCCCGGGCGACCTTTTTGACTGGCAGCAGCTGCTGCTGCAGCAGCAGCGGGAAGCTCTTCGCCGGGAAAGGGAAGCTGCTGCTGCTGCTGCAGCAGCAGCTTCTGCTGCTGCTGCTGCTGCTGCAGACTGGAGAAACGGAAAATGGACTTCAAGTCCGGCTCTGGAGGAAGAGGCCACGCACTGGCGCTGGGCAGCAGATGCTGCAGACCTGCAGCAGCAGCGAGCAGCAGCAAGGGCTGCGCAGCAGCAGCAGCAAACCTGGGAAAGGGAAAGGGAGCTTCAAAAGCTCAAGGAAAGAAGAAGACAACTCGAAAGAGAGGCCCTGCAGCCTCCAAACCTCCACGACTTCTTTTTTTCTTGAAGTAAAATTTTCTTGAAGTCCCATTTTTCTTGAAGTCCCATTTTTCTTGAAGTCCCAACCCAACTGGCTTTCCTCATTTCACTTTTTTTTAATTTCGAAATTTCGAAATAACCACTGAGCTGCAAGGCCGCCACTAGAGTGCAGCCAGAGCTGCCCCGAGGTGGACTCTAGGGCTTTAACAAACCCTAAACCCTAAACCCTAAACCCTAAACCCTAAACCCTAAACCCTAAACCCTCCTAAACCGCCTACCCCGTAAACCCTCGTAGCTGCGAGCCTCCGCTACCAGTTGCAAGATTAGCAGAAGACGCCGCGGAGAAGAGCGGCGGCCGTCGTCAGTTGGCTGATTTTGAAAAATGAAAATTCAAATCGGAAAGCCATTGAGAAGCTGCCTTACTGAACACAAATGCAGAAGCTGCTGCTGCAGCGAGAATGGCCGCAGGAGTGAACTCTTGAAAGTGCGCTGCTGCTGCTGCTGCTGCTGCGGCGGCGAGCTGCTGCTGCTGCTGCTGCAGCTGCAGCAGACAGCAGCCCGAGGCATTCTCAGCAGCGGAGCAGCAGCAAGAGGAGCCTCAGCAGCGGAGCAGCAGCAAGGGGAGTCTCAGCAGCAGAGCAGCAGCAAGGGGAACTCTCCAAACTAAACAAACCCCGGGGGCTGCTGCTGCTGCTGCTGCTGCTGCTGCTGCTGCTGCTCCTGCGGCCCGGCAAATCGGCCGCGCTCGCTGGGCCCCTGCTGCAGCGCGAAGCAGCTGCTCTGCTGCAGCATGCGCTGCGCTGCTATGCTGCTGGTCTTGCTGCCTGCAACAAAAGGAACGTGCACGGAGTTGAAGCCTTCGCGCCAAACTTCGCAATTTAATGAACTGCTGCTTTCTCCTCGGCTGTGTGGAGAGGACGCTTGGCGAGCTGCGGTGTCTGTACACCGCGGCCGCGGCCCGCCCAGTTCGTTCTGCTGCGCCTCTCGGCTGCAGCCGCGGCTTCTTGCAAGTTCGCAAACTGGCCCATTGTGTTGTTCTGCAAATAAAAAGAAATTTGTTTTCAAAAAGAATCCAAAGCTCTTCAGAAGCTCTCGGGAAGACCTCCTGCAAAGCCCAGACTCAGTCTCGGCTTTCTTGCAAAAAAGAACGCTGCGCAGCAGCCAGCTGCTTCTTTCTGCCTGCTTCTGCCTCCCGCTGCTGCTGCTGCTGCTGCTGCTGCTGCTGCTGCTGCTGCTGCTGCTGCTGCTGCTGCAGCTGGCTCCGAGATCCCGCTAGAGACTCTGCTTCTGCTGCTTCGGTGGCTCTTACTGATCGCTTTGCTTGGCTTTTGCCTACTCAGCCCACCCACCGCTCGCGCGTGGCTCGTTTTGGCGGCGATCTCCGGACTCCCTCAGCGCGATCTCCCGGTAAACTTTGCGGATCGACAAATTCACAATTCGGAAGTACTCTTGCATTTGCGAGTCCGAGAGCTCTGCATGCAAACAGCAGCACGGACGCAGCAGCAGCTGCATGCTGCTGGCAGCAACTGCTTGCTGCTGGCAGCAACTGCTTGCTGCTGGCAGCAACTGCATGCTGCTGGCAGCAACTGCATGCAAAAAGAATTTTCGAAAACAAAAAAACAAAAAAAAACAAAAAAAACAAAAGACAGCTCACCCGCGTAGTTCGCGTCGCCGTTCAGAAAGAGCAGCCGGCGAAGTTTGTCTTCGAGGTTTCTTTCAATTGCAATGAGCCTTTGGAGGTCCACGTCGTAGCTGTTGACTTGCTGAGTCATAATTCCCTGAAGAAGATTTAATTTCAGCACAAGTCCGCGAGAGTTGCGGAATTCGCTGAGACGGAGAGCTTTCCGAGAAGAATAAAAAGAAATGACCAACACTTTTCCAAGACTCACTTGCAACTTCTTGCAAAAACGAAAAAGAAATGAAACTTTTCCAAACTCACTTGCAAGTTCTTGTAATAACAAAAAAGAAATGCGCAAATACTTTTCAAAAACCCACTTGCAACTTCTTGCAAAAACAAAAAAGACATGAAACTTTTCCAAACTCACTTGCAAGTTCTTGCAAAAACAAAAAAGAAATGAAACTTTTTTCAAAACTCACTTGCAAGTTCTTTCAAAAACAAAAAAGAAATGAAACTTTTCAAAACTCACTTGCAACTTCTTGTAGGCCTTCTTGTACTGACAGTGCACTGCCCGAATGTGCTCCAAGTCCTCCCCAAGAGCTTTCACTTCTTGCAAAACTGACTCTTGAACAGCAGCGCATTCGTCGGGGCCAATCCTCGCCACGGGTTCTTCAGGAATTGCAAACTGCAGCAGCAATCCGCAGCAGCAATCCGCAGCAGCAATCAGCAGCAGCAGCAGCAGCAGCAGCAGCAGGCAGCAGCAGCAGTCCGCAGCAGCAAAAGGACTGCAGCAGGAGCCGCCGCGACGCAGCCACGGCGCATTCTTCGAGCAGTTGAATTCAAGAAAATGAATTTATTACTTTTAATGTCTTTAAATGCGTTTTTTATTTTTTAAAAGCAGTTTTAAATGCTTTAAAAAATAAAAACCCAAATGCTCAAAACACTCACAGAAGACTTCGGCTCAGGAAGGCAATTCGAAGAGTAAGGCAAAAGCTGCTTCGGCTTTTTGCGGCTGTCTTCCGAGCGGCCCGCTCGCTGGGCCTGCACGACTGTCAGCTTGTACTGGGCTGCAGCAGCAGCAGCAGCAGCAGCAGCAGCAGCAGCAGCAGCAGCAGCAGCAGCACACAAAAAGGACAATTATGGGAAATTAAAAGCTTTTAAAAAGGCACTTGTCCTTTTCAAGAGCAAGATGACTCTGCACACACTCAGGCGGCCACGCTGCATGCATGCAGCTGCTGCGCACTTCCTTCGAGTTCCTGCGCAAGTTCTTCGAGTTCGTCCACAGAACACGGCTGCAGGTCTTGGGCCTGAGTTGCAAAAAACCGCAAGAACAAGAGACCAAAAGGCTGCTGCAGCGCAGCAGCAGCCCGGGGCTCTTTCTGCTTGCTGCAGCGCAGCAGCAGCCCGGGACTCCTTCTGCTTGCTGCAGCGCAGCAGCAGCCCGGGGCTCTTTCTGCTTGCTGCAGCGCTGCTGCAGCGCAGCAGCAGCCCGGGGCTCTTTCTGTTTGCTGCAGCGCAGCAGCAGGCTGGGCTCTTTCTGCTTGCCATTCATGTTCTCTACTCTTCCCTTCTGCTGCAAAGAAGGCCGCCCAGCACTTCCCGAACGGGGCAAAGTGATTGAAGATTAAAAGATTAAATTAAAGATTAATCCGATTAAAAATTAAAAATGAATTACCGTTAAGACACTGAGGCGTTTTTCCACTTCTTGCATTTGCGTGTGGCGCCTTCCGTAGCAGACGCGGCAGTCCGCAGCTGTCTGCTGCAGCGAGCTGTGGACTTGATCGGCCTGCGGAAGTTTTGCAGCAGAAGATTCGCAAAAAGAGCGATCTCTAGCAGATTTAAAAAGAAAAATATAATTGAAATGAAATGAAATGGAAAAGAAAAGAAACGCACTGCTTTCAAAGCGCTGTAGTAGCTCGAAACTTCGTGCGACTGCACTTCCAGCTGCTGCTGCAGTGTATCGAGCTTTCCGCGCAGCTTGGCCAGCTTGTCGAGGGCAGTTGAGAGTCTGAAGATCAGTTCCAAAAACACTCCAAAAGAGTTCAAATCTTGCGAATTTTTGCCCCAAATGTGACAATAAAACAGAATAAAAGACAAATAACATGCAACAATCTTAAGAACTTCGAACTTGCACAAAAACTTGCACAAGACGCTGCTCCATGCTTGCTAGACAAGGGGAACTGGCGCCACTTACACCATCGAAGGATCTGTTTGCAAATCTTCTGGAATGCCTGCAGCTGCAGCAGAACAACAAAGAGAGCCAAAAATGTTGTTCTTATGAGTGATTATTTGAAAAATAACTTTTAAATTTTGAAAAATAACTTTTAAATTTGCCGAAATTCCAATTTCAGAACTTTTCCAAAACCAACAGTTCCCAAAGACCTACTGGTCTCTTTGTCGTCCGAAGTGTCCACGCTGGCCGTGCGGCTGAAGAAGCGGCCGCAAGGCGCTGGGGGGTGGAGGTTTTGCTGCCGGCCTGCTGCGGCGCTGCAGCACTCTCTGTCCTCCGGGCCATCTGCGTCTGCTGCTGCTGCTGCTGCTGCTGCTGCTGCTGCTGCTGCTGCTGCTGGGCCAGCGCCTCGCCGGGCCTCTGCCTGGAACTCGCCAATGCCGGAGCCCGTGATTGAGCGGACAATGTTCGAAGTTGAATTTGTGTGGCGAATTGAAGACCCCGGCAAAGCCCTGGGAGCTGAAGTCCTCGGGAGTTTGGCTCCGCCGTCCGTGCTGCTGCCGGGAAGCAGTTCTGCTGCTGCTGCTGCTGCTGCTGCTGCTGCGAGCTCGCTGCCGGGGGCGGGCCCCGTGCTGCGGCAGTTTGCTGCTGCTTGCTGCTGCGCCATCAGCATGGCTTGCTTCTCTTGTTCGAAGGCCTGGCGCTGCAGTTCAAGTCTTTCGCGCTGCTCCTTGAGCTGCTGCCTCTCGAGCTCGAGTTCTTCTCTTTCTTTGTTTTGCTGCTTCTCCAGCTCCTCCTGCCGGCGCCTGAGCTCCTCGCGTTCCTTCTCCTGCTGCTGCTGCTGCCTGTCTTGCTGCAGAGTCTCTTCTGCTGCGAGAGGGTACAGCGAGGAGGGCTGGAGCGTGGCGCGCTGCAGCTGCAGGGGGCCCTGGGGGCCCCCCTGCAGCTGGGCGTGGGGGCCCCCCCCCTGCCACTCGCTGCAGGAGAGCGTCTGCACGAGGGGCCCCTGCTGCAGCCCCTGCGGAGGGTACACCCGCTGCACGGGGGGCCCCACGAGGGCCCCCCCCGCGTCCAAGAAGCTGGTCGGGGACAAGAAGCCTTCGCCGGGGCCGTAGGCGAGGCCCCCGGGGCCCCCGGGGCCCCCGGGGCCCCCGGGGCCCCCGGGGGGGCCCCCGGGGCCCTCGCCCACGGCGGGGCGGTAGGCGGGGTGGGAGCTGATGGGCGAAGAGAAGATCCGCATGGGGGAAGCTGCGTAGCCCCCCGGGGGCAGCGGCACCACTGGGAGGCCCCCCTGCAGCCGGGGCCCCTCGACGGAGGCATAGGTGTCCACGGCCTGGCGGTCGCCAGCCAGGGGGCCCCCGGGGGGCCCCCCGGGGGGCCCCCCGGGGGCCCCCACCAGCCCCCACCCCGCGGCCGTGCACAGGGGGCACCTGCAGCCCGGCTTGTGCACGTAAGTCCGCAGCGCGGGCTTGGCTTCCTCGCGGGCAAAGCCCAGGGGCTCCCCGCAGGCCCAGGGCCTCCGCGGCTTCGGCATGCTGCTGAGTCCCGCGGCCCGAGGCCCCCCCGCTGCAGCGCAGCAGCAGCGCCCCGCGAGCCCCGCAGCAGCAGCAGCAGCAGCAGCAGACAGCCCCCGCGCCGCTGCGGCCTCCGGCGCAAACAGCGGAGCCTCCAGCGCTTGCTGCAGCGCCTGCTGCTGCTGCGCGCCCGCAGAACGCCCCCGCTGCAGCTCCGCCCGCGGCCCCGCAGCAGCAGCAGCAGCAGCAGCAGCAGCAGCAGCAGCAGCAGGCCCGCCGCTCGCCAGCGCCCCCCCCGAAGGGCCCTCGCCTTCTCCTCGGAAGTCTTCGCTTCCCAGCAGTTCTCCGCAGCTCCGCGGCAGCCGCCGCCTCTCTTCAGGGGAGAAACTCCTCAGCTGCAGAGTCCACAAAGACGAGGCAGACAGAACATTACCACAAAATAAACGAGGCAAGCTGCAAGCCAACGCAGGGTGCTGCTGCGCTAGTCGCTTCTCCACTGCGCCTTCGAAAGGGCCTGCGCCGGCCGCAGCAGCAGCCCCCACGCCCCCAGCAGCAGCAGCAGCAGCAGCAGCAGCAGCAGCGCGGGGCGCCTCCTTCTCCGCCAGCCCCAGCACTTCCAGCTTTTCTCTTCGCAAGTCCCGGCCCCCAGGCCTCCCCCGCCCCCGCAAGGCCGGCTTGTGCAGAGCCAGCTCCACTGCGCTCTCAAGAATGCGGTTCGTCTCCTCCATGCTCAAGGGCTTCAAGTGCACCGGAGCTTCCTGCTGCTGCTGCTGCTGCTGCTGCTGCTGCTGCTGCTGCAGCTGCTGCAGCTGCAGCGGCGCTTCGGGAGGCCTTTGGCGTGCCCGCGGCAGAGGCTTCCTCCTTGCAAACGGCAGCGAAAACGCCCGAGTTGAGTGGCCCGCAGCAGCTTCAGAAAGCCTCCACTCGGGCCCTTTTAATAAGCCTTCTCCGAATACCGCGCCAGAAGACAAGTCCGAAAGGCTTCTGGGCCCCAACTCGGGAATGAGGCGCGAAGAGCCCCCGCGATGCAGATTCAAGTCCGGCACGCTCCGCATGCGAAGCCCGCCAAAGTGGTCAAGACTTTCCCGTTGTTTCTTCGAAGACAATTCTTTTGCGAAGTCGATCTTGAGAGCCCTCGAACGCGGCTCCAGAAGAGCCGCCTGCTGCCCCCCTTTGGGCTCCGGCGGCAGGCCAGTTGAGCTGTCCAGGTTGCAGGAACAAGACTGAAATCCCTCGTCAGTGGACTCTGCGCTTTTGAACAGTTCACTGTTTTGAGTCAGCCTCCACCGAGAATCGCCTCTGTTGCCATCGGGGGCCCCGAACGACTCAGACCTCGGCGACTCTGAGAGATCCTGCAGTTCTTGAACGAGCCCTGGAAGTGTCTGGCCAGATGCTCCCTTGTCTTGACTTTGCTCTCCAGAAAAAGCACTCAGAAGCCTGGGGGGTTGTTGCGGCAGCTGCGAACGCCTGCTCGGACTTTTCAAGAGTTGCATGGCTTTCAGACTTGCATGGGAAGTGCTTCGCAGCCGTCCAGTCTGCATTCCGGAGCCCCTGAAAGGGAAGTTGGAGCTGTCCACTTCCGAAGAGTTTTCAAGTTCATTCGAGCCCTGCCGGCCTCGGCAATCGCGCTGAATAGCATGCTGGACTTGGCCGGCGCCATCGCCGTGCAGCACGGGGAACTCCTTGGCTGCCAGCAGTGTGTCGGCACCAGCGGGGAGGCTGCGAGACTCTTGCTGCAGCTGTTCTGCGATTTGCGCTTCTTCGAGCTCTGTTTGCTGCCGTGAACTTTCTCCGCGCGAGCGGCTTTCTGTGCAGCGGGTATTCCTTCCTGCGTCATGGCTTCGGCCTGCGCTGAGCTGCCTGCGGAGGCCTTCTCGAGAATCGGATGGATAATTGAAGTTGCAGGAATCGCACTGAGGGTTTGCGGCGACTTTATCCTCTTCAAAGAGCCCAGTTGGGTCCCGTCTTCGCTCTGTGGCTCCTTCAGAAGCAGCAGCAGCAGCCGCCCCGGCAGCCGCCGGGCTCCGCTGGCCACAAGGCTGCAGCGAGGTGTCAGTGGCCTCTGGAGGCGGGTGGCGAGCAGTGAACATCAAATGAGTCAAAGAGGAGAGCGCAGCAGCGAAGCCTCCCGCAGCAGACTGCTGCCTCTGTGCTGCTGCAGCAGCAGCACTGGGCAGCGCAGGACTTGGGTGGGAGCCGCTGCTGTTGGAAGAAGAGCTGCTGCCAGCAGCAAGCTGCTGCTGTTCCAGAGCTGCTTCCGCTTCTCCGACTTCAGTCTTCGCTGACGGCGCCAGCTCCCCCCTGCCACTGTTGCTGCTGCAGTGCAGCTTCTCTGGAGCTGCTTCCTCTTCTCCCGGCAAGTCCCCCTCTTCCGATTGGCTCCCACGTTTATCTGCAGGAATAACTCTGGAAGAAACCAAAACAAAAGGCGAAATTTGGCCCTGCATAGTTCCTGGTGAAACTGACTCACCGCCTACGCCGCTGAAGGCCGCGCTGCCGAATTCCCTACAGGAACTCCAAGTTTCGTAACTCGTGGAGTCTCTGCTGGGGCTTCTGCGGGATTCGCCGCTGCTGCTGCTGCTGCAGCTGCTGCTGCTGCTCCTGTCGGAGACGGAGCTGCAGGACTCGCTGCCGCTGCTGCACTCGTCGCTCTCGCTGCTGCTGCAGCTGCTGCTGCTGCTGCTTACTCCCCTTCTCCCGCTGCTGCCGCTTCCTTCGTTCTCAGAAGCAACACCGCTACTGCATGCAGAGCCACTAGCTGCCAAATGCCCGTCTCCCCTGCTGCTGGCTCCAAGGCCACGAGAGGCTCCCGGCGGCCCCGCGGGGGCTGTCTGCTGCTCCCTTGACTGATGCTCTCTAGAGGCTTCTCTGGAGCATCCTCGGCTATCCTCTTTCAAGTCCTCTTCCTGATGATCTTCTTTAATTTCGGTGGACAGCATCGGCTGCTTTCCCAGAAGCTCGCAAGGAGCCTCCTCGCGGGCAGATCGTGCTGCATCAGGAATTCCTGTCTCGTGGCTGCTGCAGTGCTGCTGAGGCTCAGGAATAGTGCAAGCCCGAGTATAAACAGGCTCTGCTGAAGCTGCTTGCTTCGGCTGCAGTTCATTTTTTGCTTCGCTTTCTTCTGACGAGGCGCTGGAGAATCTCTTCGACTTGCATTGCGCAATTCCAATTGGGGCGCCGGGCCACGGAACCCGCGAGATCTGCCGCGATCCAGCAAGCCGGCAGTCATGAAAATCCCGCGAAGTCTCCAAAGTGACGGACTCTCCACTGAATAATCGTTCTGCGCTGTTACTGAGCGATCTGGGGCCGCACTGGCCTGCTCCGGTGGAGTGCAGCTGCTCGAAAGGACGCGCAGGGCTCCAGTTTCTGGAAAGTTTGCCACTACTGGCAGTTCGACTGAAGGACTTTCTCCAACCGGCAAACTGTGGAGTTCCCATTGTGAAACGCTTCGAAGGAGTGAGGGGATCGGAGCACTGGCCTGCTGCGTCCTGAAAAGCGGTTCGCAAGTCCCCGAAACTGCTGCCAGTTCGTACAGGCTTCTTTGCTGTGATGCAACTTTTGGCATCTCTTCCTGGAAAACTGCTTTGTCTTCTCTGAGGCTTCTCAGTAGCTTCCACCATGCAAGCAGAGGTCGTCATCGGCTTCACCGACTCGCGCTGTTGTTCACACACGCCTGGAGAGCATTTTTCAGTAATTCTTTCCGCGCCTTCCGACGCATCCTGGAAGTTTCCAGTCTGCTCGCTGCTCTCTGCAGCAGATTCGAGAGAAGTCCAGAACGAGGGAGCCGCAGCAACAGGCATTTCTGAAGAACTTGAATTCCTGTCGCCTCGGCTTCTCTGCCGCTCTGCAGCCTCTCCAGCAGCAGACTGTTCACGAGAATGTGCAACTGAAACCTGGTGATCAGGCTTTTTAGGCTCTGTTTCCGCGCCTTCCGACGCATCCTGGAAGTTTCCAGTCGGCTCGCTGCTCTCTGCAGCAGATCCGAGAGAGGTCCAGAACGAAGGAGCCGCAGCCACAGGCATTGCCGAAAAACTTGAATTCCTGTCGCCTTGGCTTCTCTGCCGCTCTGCAGCCTCTCCAGCAGCAGATCGTTCACGAGAATGTGCAACTGAAACCTGGTGATCAGGCTTTTTAGGCTCTGTTTCCGCGCCTTCCGACGCATCCTGGAAGTTTCCAGTCGGCTCGCTGCTCTCTGCAGCAGATCCAAGAGAGGTCCAGAAAGACGAAACCGTAGCAACAGGCATTTCTGAAGAACTTGAATTCCTGTCGCCTTGGCTTCTCTGCCGCTCCGCAGCCTCTCCAGCAGCAGATCGTTCACGAGAATGTGCAACTGAAACCTGGTGATCAGGCTTTTTAGGCTCTGTTTCCGCGCCTTCCGACGCATCCTGGAAGTTTCCAGTCGGCTCGCTGCTCTCTGCAGCAGATTCGAGAGAAGTCCAGAACGAGGCAGCCGCAGCCACAGGCATTGCCGAAAAACTTGAATTCCTGTCGCTTTGGCTTCTCTGCCGCTCTGCAGCCTCTCCAGCAGCAGATCGTTCACGAGAATGTGCAACTGAAACCTGGTGATCAGGCTTTTTAGGCTCTGTTTCCGCGCCTTCCGACGCATCCTGGAAGTTTCCAGTCGGCTCGCTGCTCTCTGCAGCAGATTCGAAAGAGGTCCAGAAAGACGGAGCCGCAGCCACAGGCACTGTCGAAGAACTTGAATTCCTGTCGCCTAGGCTTCTCTGCCGTTCCGCAGCCTCTCCAGCAGCAGACTGTTCACGAGAATGTGCAACTGAAACCTGGTGATCAGGC